TTTTTTTTTTTTTTTTTTTTTTTTTTTTTTTTTTTTTTTTTTTTTTTTTGGGTATAATTGGCTTGCTGGTCTTCTTTGTATTCTTCCATTGTTATCTCAATGTGCTTCAATTAGTCAGACCAGGATTTGCGTCAGTAAGGTTTCATTATCAGCGTCATGCAGTAGTTATACAACTAAAAAGATAAATAACCGATTTGATAAGCTGCATGATTCAATAAGATCAACATTAAACTGCAAAGCTATAGATCACACTATAAGTAATAGCAACATTCTAAGATCCATCATACAAAATATTGCGGAACACTAAAAGCACCATCTTAAAACAAAACAAAAAATCAAAATGCCTCATTCCATTCCATGACCAATCTAAAATGCCAGTGAAATCAACAAGCTGATCAAAACTTCATCGATCGGCATCAAACAGAAAAGTAAAGGCTAAACCAATAAGTAAATAAATCAATCAGCCTTACTCAGTACACACGCATTCAGCACAGAGAAACGTACAATCTGAAATTAGAGAAATTAAGCAACAATAAAGAAATCAAGGAAAAGAACCGATCGCAAAACAAACGACAACACGATAACAACAAATACATTATCTGAAGAGAGATGAGAACCCTACGGCCTCTGGCTTGCCGATGATCTTGGCAACGGTGGATGAAGCCTCAGAGAGAACAGAGGAGGTATCGATACCTTCCAGGTTGACATTCGTAGAAAGGTTGAGGCAAGGCATCTTCTTCTTCTTCTTCTTCTTCTTCTTCTGATCCAAGATTCTTATCTGCAACATCATTTGCCCTCATTTTCCATCTTTTATCTCTGCTACTCGAAGACTCTTTGGGCCTCCATTCATCATTGGGCCCAAACGTGAAGCTTTCTGTTATGGGCCATCATTTCGTACAATCAATTGGGCCACGTTCATTTCTACATGGGCCTAACCCGGGAAATTTCAAGATGTATCATACTCGATCCACATGCTAAAAAAATTTTAATTAAAAGATTTTCATCACGATAGGAATTAAAATTAGCGGTGTTCATATGACTCGATAATCAGACTAATTTGGACGATCTAACCCAATCATAAAGGTTAAATTGGGTTTAAGTCAAATCGACCTTCCCAAATTTTTTTCCCCACCGCACACTTTTTGTTCAAAAACCTCGTCCGAGCAATCGGTGGCTTCTCTTAAAACCTGAGAGTGGAGAACAAATGGCTCAGGAATCGACGGGTTCTCAGTAGATATTTCTGTCTCCTTCTCCCATGCCGAGTCACAGGTAGCTCCTCCAAAAGCACGGGACGAGCCAGTGAATTATAATTTAAGAAATGCTCAGTAAGTGACCCCATTATTGGGGTCAGGAAATGCAAACACATGCAACTCATGAGGTAGGGACCTATCATTTAAAAAGGAGTGACCTCTATCTGGACAAATATTTAGATGTGTAGTACTTCCCTACATACGACCCACACGTGCGAGTGTGGATCCTCAGGCGCTTCGAACCCTCAGGACCCATCATAGTTAAGCTAGCTATCCGTAGCAAAGTCCGGAGGTCAACTAACCCCTAGGTGTCATGTGAGGCATGATGATCATCATCATCATAAGGTACGCGTCCGTAGTCATCATCATAAATGGGGAAGTATCCCGATCATACATACACACACAAATATGGTCCTATTATTATTATTTTAAAAACAATCAAATATAGGTCTTTAAATATAATTATCAAAATCTTAATTCTTAAATATAACAGACAAATTTTTTGGACGAAATTTTGGATTGGTTCAGTTGGTAACGGGAATAATTCAAATATAAATCCATAACTCAACCCTCTATTTTCGGGTTGGGATGAGTTATCAAGTTGTTTTTTTTAATTATTTTTTAAAAATATATATTTATCCACCGTACATGTTATATTAATAACTAAAATTACATAATGTTGAAATTCAAGTCATAGCACACTGTAATATTAGTTACAATTATTAAATATTCTTATCCAAGGTAAGGTAGGATAGGGTTGAGTTCGGTTGTAATCTTATTTATAATTCAATAAAAAATATAATTTTTTATTTTTTAAAATTTAACTCAACTACCAAAATTAGCCTAATTTTTTATGATTTAAATGGGAGGTCAAGTAGAATTTAATGTATTAAAATTTATATAAATTCCATTTAAGGAAAGATAATAAATGGAATATTAAAGACTTGGTTACAAATAATATATTATAATACATTTTAATTATTTTTTTAATTTCAATAATTTAATAAATGTAACAATTTCACGAGAATGTAAAGTAAAATAAGAGGTGGAGACGGGAACTGAAAAGACTTCTCATCTTTTATCGCTTTATTACACGATAATATAACACAAAAATTATTAAAAAAAATTATTAATTGATTTTTATTTTCAAATTTAAATAAAATAAAATAAAAAGCTCATTCTATCTGTCAACATACAGACATTTAAGAAACAATCAAATTTGGAAGCGTTGAAATCATTGCATTACATTAATATCGTATGACATCATCATTCGTCATGCATGATACGTCATACATTATAAATACAAAGTATAAATGACACATGCCTAGGACACTAGACATGTGTCGTCATACATCAAACGAGTCGTCTAATCTATTCGATAGTGAGACCACTTACTTGATTGACTCGTGCCCTTCGTTTAGCGTTTCTACACAATTAGGGTGTCCAAGAATATTGATTTTCTTCAATTAGGTCTTGTTTCACCTTTTAAAAAATGGTTAGAATTGGAATTAGGATGAAAATTGAGAAAATAGAGGACGAACGGGCCGAAATCTGACTTACACACGCCTCCACGTGTCGGGAAGGAGGCTAGTTGCAAGTCCCATGTGCGGGTCGTTTATCTACAGTCATGGGTCAGGCACTCTAGTTCGAGTCGATTCGATTCTCGATCAGCTAGTTCAATTCACTTAAGTTTAGACCATGGGTTGGTTGAGCCGAAAGGTCGCAGGTAGGTACGTGGATTTGCGGGTCGGATCAAACGTAGAGGTCGCGTGTCGTAGGTCAGGTGGAGTCGCGATGCTCAACGCAGTGTTCGACGCTTGGCTCCACCCGATGCTTAGTGGTATGCACAGTACCACTCGCCGGAGCCATTTCTCTCTCCTCCTACAGATGAATAACAATTTCCAATCAGGTTTCTTTCCGTTTTTTCTTTTTCATATCTTCAGATTTTGGCTCCAATCAAATCGTTCTCTTCAGCAAAGTTTTAGATCATAGTTCCATCTACATCCTACTATTTTCCTTGAAATTTAAATGCCACCAGATACTAAGTTCTAAGCGTCGAAAGATGATCCGTTAGCATCCATACCGTTCTTGGAAGGACTCTCATATCTCTATCTTCGGACCAGAATTTCGGCTAGGTTTCTTCACGAATCCTCTGGAGGATTCCTTAGATAAACATATCAAGATTTCATAAAAGTCTTGGATACGAGAAAAACTAATCCAAGCTCGAGTTGTTCAAGTCAAGAATAAAGAGTTGGTTTGTAAACTATATTCGAGTTGTTCAAGTCACCAATCCAACTGATCCACAAGTCGGTTCAAGCTAAGCAACGTTAAAGAACCCTAAGCAATATTAAAGAGGAGACAAGGAAATTAATGGAAGTTTTGGAAGAGGGTAGTGGAGCTTCCATTTATAAATGTGTAACATAATAATATTATCTATTTAATTTTCTAGAATTTCACATTTATTAAAAAAAATATTTATTTCATTAAAAAAAACCGAAATATCCACACAGAAAACCGTTTTTAAGGAGATTAATTTTAAATCTTTAAAATATTTAATAAAAAAAAATTATAATTAATAAAAATGAGCTAATGCTTTAAATTTTCTAAAAATAATAATAACTAAGACAAAAACATTAATAATTTATTTAAAAAATAGGCTAAATTTGAGAAGGATTTAAAAAATAGGGTTAAAAAAAATTAATATTCTTTATTTAAAAAAAAAACTTTTTAATTTTTTAAAAAATTAAAAAGTATTTATACCATTAAAGTATGAACAAAATGGTAGCAACACGTTTAAAAAATACTCAATAATTTTTTTAAATAACATTAAAAAGTTCGGAGATAATCTATAAAATGTAAATAGATGGTTTTCGTCTATATATAACGACTGTAAAACTTTTTAATTTAGAAAAATATTATTGAAATTTTTTTTAAAATTTAAAAATATTTTTTTTAGATAAAATATAAAGACGGTGGATATTTTTATTAATTTAATTTCAATAAAATAGCAAAACCCACACATTTCCTATTTTAAAATAATTTTGAAAAAAAAAAGTAAAATATAAAAATATTATTTTTAAAAAAAGTTGTCATGTTTTTCTTTCTTTTCCTCCTCGTTACAGGTCCAATTTTTCGGACATGTCTAGAGACAACTAATATTAGGCTAAATTACTTTATTTATTTTCTACAATGTTATTATTACTTCACAAAAGAAGCTTTTAAAAATAATTAAATATATATTTGTAACTTTATTTTGGACCAGTTCAAACGGTGATCCGAGTAATCAAAATATAAATTCATAGCTATTAAGAATATTTAGTAATAAATTATAGTTTATCATATATATTATATTTGATATTTTATTATAAGCCAAATATATAATATTTATTTTATTACCGTAGCTATCTTTCCATTTATTGTTATTTTCATTTATTATCCATTTATTACTATTTCCATATCCTTGTAATTTATTTGATTATAAATAAGATAAGTTTCACACCATTTAGTTGCGGTGGATTAATCAAACATTCTTAACATCTCAACCCTCTGTTTTCGGGTTAGGTTGAGTTGTCGGTTGTTTTTTTAATTATCTTTAAAAAAAATATTTATCAATAATACATATTACTTTAATAACTAAAATCTCATAAATTTCAAATTTCAAGTATTTACTAGTCATAACTATTATTCTACAGCAAGATTCGTGTTGAGATGGCAATATCAACCAACGAATTGAATATAATTTTTTATTTTTTAAAATTTTAATTCAACTCAAATCGGACCTAAATTAGTTTAATTTTTATGATTTAAATTAGAAGGTTCGGGGAGTAATGAGTTCCAATAAAATTTAATGTATTAAAATTTATATAAATTCCATATAAGGAAAGATAATAAATGGAATATCATAGACTTAGTTGCCAATAAAAAAGATTGGAAAACTACACTATAATATTGAATTTAAACTTTTAAAATTTATATTGACTTTATTTTTAATAAAAATTATATTACAAACAGAAAATTATTGATTAAAAAAATAAATAGAGAATTTTACTAGTATAAAGGTGGGGACAGAGAGAACTAATCCGAGGGATTCTGAGTTTCCACCAGCTAAATTATTAATTGATTATTATATTTCTGTCAACATACACAGAAAATGAGACCATTTAAGAAACAACCAAATTGGGAAGCGGTAAAGAAGGCAGCCGCCATGGACTGGTCGCCGTCGCGCCGGAGAGTCATAGTTTTGATGAAACGGGGCGGCCGGCCGTCGTGTCGTGGACTTTAAGAAAGAATCTCGCCGGCGGAACCGAAAGCTTTTCATTTAAAATGCTTCCGATAGAGTGGATTAGCTTCTTCTTCACTGCGGAGTTTATTCCTCCCATCGACACCACCTCCGCGAACGCCGCCGGTTCTCCGCTGCCTCCAAACGATATCGCCACCGACCCTTTTAGCAACACCATCACAAACTGCCCAAATAATAATAAATAAATATTCTAATTTCTTTTTCCTGATTTA